TCCTGCATGCCACCTACTGAGGATCTGGGGCATGTTCTCTGACCGGGAATCAAACCCAGGACCTCTTGGTACATGACTGATGCTCAACCAACTGAGCCATACTGGCCAGGCCATTTCAGGTTCTTCCATGTTGTTTCAAGGTTTGCTGGTTCATTTCTTTTTAGTGTTGAGTAATATTCCGTTATCTAGATGGACCATAGTGTATTCATTCACCTACTGAAGAACACCCTGATTACTTCCATGCTTGGGCAATTATTAAGAAAGTTTCTATATACATCTTTATGAAGGTTTTTGTGTGGCCATAAATTTTTAATTCCTTTGGGTAAATGACAAGGAATGTGATTGCTGGGTTGTGTGGTAAGACTGTGTTTAGTGTTGTATGAGACTGTCAAAGTGGCTCTGCCATGTTGCATTTCCACCAGCAGTGGAAATGGAGTTCTGGCTCTACATTCTCACCACCATTTTGTCAGTGGTCAATATTTTGGCCATTCTAATATGTGTGTGGTGGTATCTCATTGCTTAAATTTGCATTTCCTTTATGGCATATTATGTGAAACATCATTTCATATGCTTATTTGCCATCTGTATCTTTTCTCTGGTGAGGTGTCTTTTAAGGTCTTTGGCCGATTTTTTTAGTTGGGTTATTTGTTTTCTTCTTGTTGAGTTTTAAGAGTTCTTTATATAGTTTGTATAGCAATTCTTTATCAGTTGTGTGTTTTGCAAGTATTTTCTCTCAGTCTGTGTTTTGCCTTCTCATTCTCTTGACTTTGTCTTTTGCAGAGCAGAAGTTTTTAATTTTAATGAAGTTCTATTTATCAATTATTTTTTCATGGATGTATATTTGACGTTGTATCTAAGAAGGCATCACCGTACCTAAGGTCATGTAGGTTTTCTCCTATGTTATTTCCTAGGAATTTTATAGTTTTGCATTTTACATTTAGGTCTGTGATCCACTTTGAGTTAAATTTGCACATGGTATCAGTATATAAGTTCTGTGTCTAGATCCATTTTTTCCCTTTATATATAGATGTCCATTTGTTCCAGCACTGTTGTTGAAGAGACTATCTTTGTTCCCCTGTATGGCTTTTGCTTCTTTGTCAAAGAGCAGAAGACTATATTTATATAGGTCTATATCTGGGCACTCTATTCTGTTCCATTGATTTATTTGTCTATTCCTTAGCCAATACCACAGTTTCTTGATTACTGTAACTCTATATCGTAAGTCTTAAAATTGGGTAGTATCAGTCTTCCAACTTTGTCCTTTGTCAATATTGTGTTGACTAGTCTGGGTCTTTTGCTTCTTCCTATAAAGTTTGGAATCAGTTTGTTAATATTCACAAAATAACTTGCTGGATTTTGATTGGGATTGCATTGAATCTAGAGGTCAAATTGGGAAGAACTGGTACCTTCCCATTTTGAGTCTTCTTATCTATTAACATGGATATCCACTTAATTAATTCTTTGATTTTTTTCATCAGAATTTTGAAACTTTCCTTATTTAGATCTTGTACATATTTTGTTAGATTTATACCTAAATATTTCATTCTTGGGGAGTGCTGATGTAAATGGCATTGTGTTTTTAATTTCCAATTTCACTTACAATTGTTAAAATATAGAAAAACAGTTGACTTTAGTATATTAACCGTATATTCTGCAACTTTAAAATACCTGGTTATTAGTTTTTGGTCAATTCTTTTGGACTTTCTACATGGACATGTTGTCTGCAAACGAAGACATTTCTGTGTCTTCCTTATCAGTCTGTATATCTTTTATTTCATTTTCTTGTCTTATTACATTGTATGGTGTTGAAAAGTAGTAGAGAGGGGATATCCTTGCCTTGTACCTGATCTTAGTTGGGAAGCTTTGAGTTTCTCACCATTAAGTATGATGCTAGCTATAGGTTTTTGTAGATAGTCTTTATTAAGTTGAAAGTTTCTCTCTCCCCTGGAATTTTTAACTCTCAAAACATCCACTCTCATCCTCAAGCAGTTTGTCAATTACAGTTTAGGTTTTCTGACCCTGCACTGGTTCCTCTGGGGCTTTTTGCCGCTGAGTCTCTGCTCTGGTAAACTGTGACTCCAGGTCTCTCCAAGCTTGGGCGGTGGTTTGCCCTGTGTTCTCCCTTCTCTTACAGATCCCAGAAGAGTTGATTTTTCAGTCTGTTCAGCTTTTTAGTTGTTGTTAGGATGGAGTGGTGGTTTTCAAGCTCCCTACCGGCAGGGAGAAACTGTAAACCTCTTAGATTTGTCTTGTTGTGGTTTTTTTTTTTTTTGTCATACAGAAGTTTCATCATACAGTAGTCAAAATGTCAGTCTTCTCTGTTTGGAATAGGAATCCCTTCTGAGCTCATGACTGTTGTGTGTTATTAAAATAGTTAAAATATTATTTTCATTTTTGGAAATTAAAAGTTACTTCTAGAACAGTGGTTCTCCACCTGTGGGTCGCGACCCCTTTGGGGGTCGAACGACCCTTTCACAGGGGGCGCCTAAGACCATCGGAAAACACACCT